AATCTCCAAATGTGTATTATGTATGCATGTCTATTAACATTTGTGTATCATACTGATGTTTGTGTGTGTGTGTGTGTATATATATATTTTATAACCATAATAATTTATAAGATTACGTGTGTGTGTGTGTGTGTGTGTGTGTGTGTGTATATACACACACACAGTTTTACAAATTAGTTTGGAATCTAGCAGCCAGCTAGAAAAGTTAGGAGCCAGAGAAATCAACGTCAAAAATACAATTCTTAAAGGGACACCAAAACCACTACAGCTTAATGTAGTTGCTCTTAAGTCTATATCCTGACCCTGAACGCTTTTAAATGTAAACACTGACTTTTCAGACAGTCACTCAGATGGCCTCTAGAGGTGCTTCCTGGGTCAGTGCTTCACACTATGCAGCCCTTACGTTAATGTTCCCTATACAGATGCATTGATTCAATGCATCTCTATGAGAAGGTAAATTGGCGCAGTGGCATTTTGCCGTGCATGCGCAATAGTCTCCCAATGCTTTGCTATGAGGAAGCATTGGATTGGCTGAGAGCGTCAAGATTGAGGATTTCAGCCATGGAGGTGGGGCCAGCCACAGCGTGGAAAAAAGGTGAGTAAAAAAAAACAACCCAAAACCCTCTCCCATGTGATTGGAGGGAACACACACACTTACTGATCGACCCAGACTCACTCACAGACAGACACAGAGACAGACACTCCGACAGACACACACTCACAGACACACACACACACTCACTCATAAGTAATTACTCTTTTATTTAAATTTACCTTTATAGAGCTGGAGAGAATATGCTTTCCCTGGGGTCCAGTAGCACTGCTGTCATCTCCCTTCTCGGCTCCCTCTCACGCACTGTTTAGTGAGCCGGGGGCCAGAGTGACATCATAACCCAGCTCCGTGAATCACTGCAAGCTGCGCAAGGGAGCAGAGCAGGGAAATTACAGCTCCTTCGCCGTGGCACTAAGTCAGCCGCCCGCCTCCCTCTGCTCTGCATTAC